GCAATAATTTGAATGTCTTTCATTTTAATAAATGTATTGAGAATAAACAATTGTTACTATGTTACAGTTGATATTTCAGTAGAGAATATATTCTATCATAACTTCATGATATCTGCACTCAAGTGAAGTGCTACATGCATTATGACTCACTTACAAAAATTTGGTTTCTAAAGAGCATATGATTTATCATTTTTCACATTGGAAGAATATTTTTCCAAATGATCAAAACTCACTGAACTTGTCAATTCTAATTTCACCTCTCTTGGTCATTGTTGATAAAAAAATAAGTATTTTATAAATTGAACTGATATAAGTCTGAATTATACTATGCAGCTGTCAGATGATTATTAAATATTTGTTCACAATATGAGGAAACATCAGTTAAATTGTTCATGTTCAAAGCTATGAACATGTATTTGATGGATCATGAGATGAGACATGCTCCTAAAGTGTCATGCTTGGCTGAAGTAAAGGGATGGACAAAGCATCTAGCAATAAACCACATAAACCATTAGGCTCTGTTGTTGTTCAAGTAATGCTGGCTAAAATGAAAACAATTATTATTGCAAAGTTCAGCAGTTTAGTAATGCATGGATGTTGGAAGGGTTTGAAGTGGGTTAGATATTAAAAAGCTGCTTTGTGTTTTGTTTGGTGTGTGAGGACAGGTATTATAGCTGCTTGATGGTAACATACATATCAACTATAGCTGCTTGATGGTAACATACATAGCAACCATAGCTGCTTGATGGTAACATACATAGCAACCATAGCTGCTTGATGGTAACATACATAGCAACCATAGCTGCTTGATGGTAACATACATACATATCAACTATAGCTGCTAACATGGTAACATACATAGCTATGGTAACATATAGCTGCTTGATGGTAACATACATAGCAACCATAGCTGCTTGATGGTAACATACATAGCAACCTGCTTGATGGTAACATACATAGCAACCATAGCTGCTTGATGGTAACATACATAGCAACCATAGCTGCTTGATGGTAACATACATATCAACCATAGCTGCTTGATGGTAACATACATATCAACTATAGCTGCTTGATGGTAACATACATATCAACTATAGCTGCTTGATGGTAACATACATATCAACTATAGCTGCTTGATGGTAACATACATATCAACTATAGCTGCTTGATGGTAACATAGCAACCATATAGCTTGCTTGATTGATGGTAACATACATATCAAACTACATAGCTGCTTGATGGTAACATACATAGCAACCATATAGCTGCTTGATGGTAACATACATAGCAACCATAGCTGCTTGATGGTAACATACATAAACATACTGCATACATAGCCAGCTTGATGGTAACATAGCTGCTTGATAGCTGCTTTGATGGTAACATACATATGGTAACTATAGCTGCTTGATGGTAACATACATAGCAACCATAGCTGCTTGATGGTAACATACATATCAACTATAGCTGCTTGATGGTAACATACATATCAACTATAGCTGCTTGATGGTAACATACATAGCAACCATAGCTGCTTGATGGTAACATACATAGCAACCATAGCTGCTTGATGGTAACATACTAGCAACCATAGCTGCTTGATGGTAAACATAGCAAACCATAGCTGCTTGATGGTAACATACATAGCAAGCAACCATAGCTGCTTGATGGTAACATACATAGCAACCATAGCTGCTTGATGGTAACATACATATCAACTATAGCTGCTTGATGGTAACATACATAGCAACCATAGCTGCTTGATGGTAACATACATATCAACTATAGCTGCTTGATGGTAACATACATATCAACCATAGCTGCTTGATGGTAACATACATAGCAACCATAGCTGCTTGATGGTAACATACATAGCAACCATAGCTGCTTGATGGTAACATACATAGCAACCATAGCTGCTTGATGGTAACATACATATCAACTATAGCTGCTTGATGGTAACATACATATCAACTATAGCTGCTTGATGGTAACATACATATCAACCATAGCTGCTTGATGGTAACATACATATCAACTATAGCTGCTTGATGGTAACATACATATAGCAACCATAGCTGCTTGATGGTAACATACATATCAACCATAGCTGCTTGATGGTAACATACATATCAACCATAGCTGCTTGATGGTAACATACATATCAACCATAGCTGCTTGATGGTAACATACATATCAACTATAGCTGCTTGATGGTAACATACATATCAACTATAGCTGCTTGATGGTAACATACATATCAACTATAGCTGCTTGATGGTAACATACATATCAACCATAGCTGCTTGATGGTAACATACATATCAACTATAGCTGCTTGATGGTAACATACATATCAACTATAGCTGCTTGATGGTAACATACATATCTTCAACTATAGCTGCTTGATGGTAACATACATATCAACTATAGCTGCTTGATGGTAACATACATTGATGGTAACATACATAGCTGCTTGATGGTAACATACATATCAACCATAGCTGCTTGATGGTAACATACATATCAACTATAGCTGCTTGATGGTAACATACATATCAACTATAGCTGCTTGATGGTAACATACATAGCTGCTTGATACTAACATACATAGCAACTAATACCACATTTAATAGTTACATGTATCGCCCATCATTTCTGAGATTATGCTAAAAATATATAATTTCTGACAATTTGAATATCTTCTCAATTTAGAAAAGAATCTTGAAAATGTAATCTTCCGTGACATGAACAAATCCAAGTTAAAACATGTCACAATCTACTGGTCCTATGAAGCAAGTTCTCACAAATGGGACATCCAAACTTTTACTAGAGATTTGAATCTGAGTATACAAATGGCATCTGTGATGTCAAAGCTACTTACAGCCATAACTCGGCCAGCTGCTTTTAAATTTAAACAAAATATGCTGGTGTTTGTAGTGTGACCAAACATATTGTTTATGTAAGTTAATTTGTTTGCAAGAATTAAAAAATGTGACCTTTGTCTTTTAGTGTTTCATGCACTCTTAAATTTCTTTCTCCACAAAACACCTTGAAATTGGACTGCTGAAGCAGACATTTGCCATTTATGTTTTGACCAGAGAAGAAAACAAATGAATTTATTTGTGATATTTAGTTGCAAATATTCTTAAAACTCTAATTCTGTCAAAGAAACAACAAGCCTTAGAAAACAAAGTTTTAGTGCAAAGGATGGTATGTGGCAACAAGCCTTCAACTGTAACTTTTCTAAACTATATCGCCAAATATTTCTTACAATCTTTTGAACCAAATGCACAGTTTCCAGCACTGATGTTTAATCACCTTAACAATATTGATGGGTGGCACATCCAGAGTAGCACAAGGTATGACAACAATGCCCCTTAAAATATTTTTAGTTTCTTGAAATGTGCTTTGGACCATCTTTGAAGCTGCTTATTTTGTCAGTTTTAGGTCAAGATCACTTAACAGGAAACAATACCTTCTACATATCACACTTTCTCAGTAAAGTACAGATTCTAGTGCAAAGTGTAATCCCAAATATAACATACAACCACTTTGTTAATGGCATTGTGTATTCGTGGTTGTATCATTGTTTGCAAAATCCTATGCACAGAAGAAACATGGTGGGAATATTGCAGACTGTAACGCACACGCGCACACACACACACACACACGCACACCGCACGCATGCACACAAACACCATCTGCAGACTGGAAAGTGCGTTGTATTTCTCAGATTCTAATAAACAAGTTCAACTCTACTGTTGTATCGATGAGATTTTAAAACAAAAATTGTATAATTGTGTAAAAGTGACACACCAGTTTTAAGTTATTAATAAGTCACATATATAGTTGCAACTAAGTTGGTACACCAGGAACAACATCACTGGAGCAGAAGTACATACACATGTCTTATCAAGTAGCCCAGAACGCAGGATTGTTTAAGTCCTACTGCATTGACCTCCATGATTATTCTCAATGTGTCATCACTTCGGACATCTTAAATCTTTCTCAGAGACAGTGACAAAAATTGTGGATGTTTGTCATCGTACTGTTTGTGCAGGCACTTCAGTTTCAGTGTCATACAGTGAATTAACATAAATGTCTATTTTAAACCTTCTCAGAAGGCATACATACATTTCAGTTAAATCTTGCATCTGGTTTTTCTCACAGATTACAGTGTTCCATATTTGTACAGTAGTTCTGCATGTCAAACTGTAGAGTTGATTATTGTCGACATAATTACAAATAAGGCAAGAACAATTTGAACAGATAAGATGTCATCATTGATGGGAATAAGCAACCCCAGGTTTTTGTCTGTTTTTAGAAGTGATTACAGAAAAATGTTTACACGACACACCCAACACCCCTCTTGACCTTTAGTGCAGGTGAGCTAGAAATTCCCTTCTATTGGTAATATTGCTAGGAATGGCCAGACATATGCTCATGTTGCCCTCTATACTTGACAGCCACAGAAACAGTTCAGATATATTTATGTCAAACGCTGGGAACATCTGTTCGCAAGGTCATGCAACAGCAACATATTTATCAGTTGAATATTTTCTCTGTTGTCTCACAATGAATTCAACTTTGCGGACAAGGAAATTTGTGTGCATGTATCAGTCTAACAAAGAAATCATTTACATAATGATTAGTCAATACAACAGTTGAAACATGAACTTTTCCTGATTTATACTGTCATGAGACAAAAACGATAAAGCTTCACATAAAAATCAATAGAGCATGAAAACTGTTTGTGTAAGTGAAAGCACTGCATTTCAATTAATATATTTATTACATGTAATTTAATGTTACTTAATTGGCAATTATGTTTACCAGGGTGAACTTTGTAACTTATGGAAAGAACTCTCAGAGTGACTGACAAAAATTGTACCAATTGTTCAGCGATTAGATATTCTCCAACGAAGGTACAGTTATTACCTTTTTCAAACATGTCAGAACATCCGAACTCATTGACAAACAACACAGAAGACAGAAAGTATATATCCTGATATCTTTTATTTATACAATACTTCATCTAAGTGGAAAATGGCACCCATTTATGATTAAGACAGCCCCTGGATTTCAAACATCCAATAAACCAAATGACAGTAATATTTTACTCTTACCATGGGCTGACATGGTACAGAACAGTACAGAACACAGTCAGCCAGTCAGCTGTCGACTGACACATAGAAAATAGGCTACACGATTCCTGCAAATGATTGTCTTGTCGCTGCCCGGGACTACAGGTCTTGTGACGTCCTCCAGGTACGCTGATACTGATGAGAGCATCACATTGTACCTGGAGGTGGATGAGGTTTATGAGTTTTGAAGATATTCCAGTTAAACTATACATTGTTAATTGTTACACAGAAATACACCAGTGGAGATTGTGGTCAACTCATTGTGTGGTTATTATGCTGTTAGTAGAAGGACTGGGTTGGTCTCACTTTGCACCCCTTCAAATTATGCAATTGTAAACACTCTTCTTATTTTCAGAAGCCAGTGTTTCTTTCCACACTATACTGCAATCTGAGAAACAATATTTTTATATAATAAGAGTTTATTTTACTTTCAAAGATGTATCGAGATTTCAAAATAAACTTCAATGGCAAGTCCCATGAATAATTTACTAAGCATCAACAAAACTCAAACAATTAATACTGTTTGTGATAATGAGATTTGTGCATTTCACAAACTTCATGTACAGTCAGTCTGAATGACTGTGGATGTATAATGGAAACAATCATGTATTAAATTGTTTGTACATAAATAACAGTGGATTGCCCAACTGCTGTGGGAATACGTCTCCAGATTTGGCTGCATACTTTGTAGAATGATTGTGACATCTAATTACAAATGCATGAAATGAACTCATGATCTATCCACTATGACGTTGACACTCGTTTTGTATCCATAATAATGACAATATTGCACATTTTCAAATATGTAATTTGCTTAATAAAAGTTCAAGTTTAAATATCTCGTGGCATCCATGATAAAAAGTCAATACAAGACTCATCTACTTAACACTGTGGTTTGTCTCATTAAACTCAATAAAAGATAAAGAAATAATTTACCTTTCGATGACCGAAGACAAGCGCCAATCAAAGAAATTGACAATGTTCTTGACTTATTCTCTTCCCCAAACCTCGAACAAAGAGCAGCATAAGCCGGCCTAAAAGTCTTAATTTCTTCCTATCTTAGATATGTTTCTTCTTTCCATAAGGTTTCTAAGGACAAGGAAGGCTTAGCATTAAGCAGTACACCCATTAAACCACCCAGTAGTAATGTCACCAAAGAATTAGAATTCAGGAATAATTGCGTGAAAAGACTTATTGCCAGATTCACTTGTCCCAGTTACAGTGTTAGCTAGAAATCTTTCACACTTAGTAGGATGTTAAACTTGATAGTTTCATAGGGTTCTCCCTCCACACAAAATGTTCCCTCTTAGATCAATAACAATAACATATTCATATCAAATACAACATTAAAATGACTTAACTTAATTTCCAATTAAGTATTAATCCTGTTTTCTTTCAAAAGTTCCTTTAAAAGACTGATGATTTGATGAGACTACTAAAAACTCCTGTTAAAGCTGGTTTTCAAATTGATAAATAATAAAATGTGTTTAAAAGTATTAAAATGAAGCATTATAAAACATATTTGTAATGACAATTAAAGCTTTGAGTAACCTTCAGTCTGACTTGAAGTGAGCACTGACTGACATGTAATGATCACGGTGATATGAAGACAGTTCACCTCAACGGAACCTCATGCAGGAGCATCACATATCCACTCCACACTGGAATATAGGGAGGCTACCTAAAACCTTCATCACAAAATCTAGTTTCATCTTTGATATAAACTGTGTGGCACACAATAGAAAACCATTATAAGAATACACACAGGTTGTCCAGAACATATGGACAGTCTTGTAAGTCCGCCGATATGGTAGTAGGAGAAGGTCTTCAGTTAATGGAACTGTACATCACACAAAGTCTCTTCCAATGGCAATATATATATATATATGTATGTATGTATAACATGGGAGGCAAACGTATACCTCCTCTCTCAGAGGTCCACTGCGGTACTGTTCACACTGGGACACATAATGAAACAAAACATTAATACTAAAGCCCACTGGAAACACTACACTCAAAGTGACGGACGCTGTTACAAGGAAGGGGGAGTAAAAGGGAGGAGCGCTTTCAATGATGGAAAAATTAGATCATTTTTATTGGAATGCTAGGATTGGTGTTTGAAATCACATTTGTCCAGATTACAAGTTTTAAGACTGGATTTAAACAAGGAAAACACAACACTCAACACTGATTCCAATGAGGCTACCTACATGGAATAAACAAATCCTGATGGCAGGTCCGCGTGTGAGGGAGGAGGTACATACTGCTGCCTGGGGCAACAGACCCACACTCACAATCTGCTAAAGACCGGCACATTTGCATGCCATAATTCAGAAAGCCATCTCGCTCCTGTGAGTGTATTTTTCTTGCAGACATATTCATTGGTCAATGCCACTATGTCCGCTACAAGCCAACGTTATTGTAACGCAACATGCACACGCACACAAAGAACAAGGTCAAGGTCACAGTCTCAAGATCAGCACCAAAATAAAATCTCGGCTCTCAACAAATTCTCTGGGAATGATTTTCCTAAGGCATAAGGTTCTTTGTGAATTTATTGTTTTCAAAGTGAACTTTCTTTCTGGATTCTATTCATTTGTGTGGGTAAACAGGACTTGATAGTCCTTATAGCACTGTGTCAGATGTCTGCATCACGCACTGTCAATACATCCATCGAGCTGTCGGCAGCCAGACGTGTTGGAGGTCCAACGTGCAGAAACCAATATGCGATAATGCTCAGTTTGTGCGATCGTCTTTTAGTTTGATCCCTTTAGTTCAACATGCAGTAATAAATACAGTCATCATTCTCAAAACAAGGAGATTGTTCTCAAGAACTGTGAGTAGGTGATTCTGCAAAAGGTGCAGTCTGCCATATAGTCCTCTCTTCTCTCTCCTGATTGTCAGGGTAACGGATATCACAATAATACCCGGAAATGAGTAGGCCAGATTCTGAAGCATCCATTTGTCATCAGGTGATTTAGAGAGGGTCCTGCTCCAGATCTGGCGATCCTTTTGAGTAAGTCAGTCAGTCACTGCTTGTGGGCACACGAGTATCACTGCACAATCATGAGTATATTATGGGATGTGTGCTCACTCATTCACCGCCTTGTGGCGCTTCGTCTGTCACTGGACAGTAATCTCAGAGAACCAATCAAAAGATGTATTATATAGTGGCTATAACACTCGTGGGAGTCTAGAGGTAGCTTAGATCCAGTGCATGGTGAAGGGCTGCAAGATCGGAATGGTTGGATATCCTCCAGAAAGGCCAGTTCATCTGGAAAGCAAGACACAACTTGTCAGTTAAACTCAACACCTCAACTTCAAATGTTAACTTTATGATCACAGACACATTCACTGAATATCTTAGTATAACATACACACTACTATGAACAGAAATAAATACCTGCTAATCATGTTTGAGATGTCATTGTGAATACATTTTGGAAACAGTTCAGAAAGAAGGACATCAAATGGTACTAACTACCTGTTTGGCTGCCGACTCCTCATCCCGACCATCGCCTACAACAACATAAGTGCACTTCCTGCCAAACCGTGAGATGATCCGCTCAAAACAGCTCTCTTTACCTGCATCATGGAAAATTGATAACGAACCTTTAAACAAAGCAAGCCAGTGACAATCCTCCGGGCTCCATGTCTATAATACAATCAGGACTTGTTCACTGATCGGTCTTACTTTTAACTTCTGTCTGTCATGAAAGTATAAAGTCCAGGTCACATAGGGAATCTAATTATCAAAGAGACAGCCTAAACTTTCAAACACAAACACAAAGATGTTTTCCAGTGTGCAGTAACGCTTACTTGACTTGTGAAGAGTAAGAGAATGAATGTTGTTTTAAATCTGCCTTACCATGGCAGCCTCTAAATAAGCAAACAGGGATGACCTCAGGCTGCTCATGGTAATCCCAGACTCATTTTTGCATCATTACTTAATCATAAACAGGGAGAATTTATAAATACTCGCTTTTTACAGATAAATATATTTCCTCACCTATTTTTGTTGCACTGTAGACATTTTCAATGTTGAATACACCCCCAAGACCATACAATAGAACTTTGGCCAGGGCCGGAACAAGCTGCGTCGTCGTAACCAGAACATTCACACAGTTATTTCTGAAGGAAAAAAGAACAAGTTACAGTCAAATTTAAACACAGCATAAGAGAAAACGGAACCTTTCTCAGAACAGTGCATATGACTGAAAACCACAGTTATTGGAACTCTGGTAGCAGGATATAATATGATATATAAGGGAACATATGTGAGTGTTGTCATTAAGCCATGGAGTACTGAACACTGTTCCACAAAATATCTTTAATGCTGCTAAGACAATGGCAATCTGACTTATGACAGTCGTAAAACTGAAGTCCCACCATACACATGAAGAACTAGTTTCTAGCTGAAGGGTATATTTTCTGTGTGATGTGGTTGCTATACACACCTAGAGCTGATGATAGAGAGAGACTTGAGAGCCAGAGTGAGCCAGTTGTCGGTTAAACTCTCAATCTCCTGTCTCAGCTGCAGCCATGGATCTCGCTTCTGAGGACCCAACAAACCTGAAACAAGCGAACACAACTGTAGCTTCACTTTCGTAGCCACAACAAACTATAAAATATTCTTAATATATTTAATAAATATGTTTCAAAATTCAGCATGAACCAGGCTGTGTACTGCCGCCTACACATGGAGGGAGCACTATGACATTCTGGAGTGTGACAGTGAGACCACAACAACTGCATCTGGAACTTAGTGTGACATGGAAGAGTAGGTGGATATTTACCTCCGACATTGTTCCTATAGCTGTTATAGATCTCCTTAATGCGCCTGTATCTGAAGGCCAGCTTTCTCATCCAGTCCACCCCACCCCGCACGCCAGTCGCCAGACACAGGTTCGCATTGCTAGCCGCCGCATGGAAACCATCAGTGGCAAAATTATAATTGCTGCAAAAAAAATAAATAAAACAAATGGTGATGATAAGAGATTGGGCAATAGATGATGGAGAGAAGTGCAGAACACATCCTCTAAATACAGGCCTTGTTATCACACTGCGGTGACCTTTCCTAGCATGTTATCACACACCAAGAGCAGTTAATCTTACACCAACCCAACACATTGAATAACTGCATGGTCCCTCTCCGCGTATCAACTTCCAAAAAGCTAAATTATCATCAAATAGCTTGGAAAACTTTTAAAACATAAATAGACCACAGAGAACGCAAGATGACATATTTTTTTTGCTTTCCAACTTATCCTATCCAATAGATAATGATGTTTTGGCCCCCCATATTTGAGTATTTGTGTAAGTTTAAGGTGTGATTAAGGTGATGGGAGGGTAACTGACAGGCTGTCAGGCTGCCAGGAATAATATTGTATTTTACTGATTAACACACTGAAGCCTGAGAGACAAGAAAGAATAATCAGCCTTCTTCACAGCAGGGTTCAACTTGACAGCAGTGGAATTAACCCACAATTCAGAAGGCAAGCCAAATATAAGGCCATGTACATTAGTGCTCCCTGGTACCTAAGTACAGGGGCCAGCAATTCTATACCTCTTCAAAGTGTTCTACATATTTCAGTCATCAGTTCTGTGGCTCAATTCTTAGAGATTATTCAGCATTACAACATATGTTACTGCATGGTTAGTGGAGTGTGGCAAATTATTCATCATCATTTCAATACTCAGATTCTACTGGTGTATCCAATTGACTTGGACATTGGGGTGATCATAATTTTCAGATACTTTCATTAACATGCAAGTACGTTGTTAGCTACTTTATCATCTCTACACCCACCTTAAGTCTTGTCCATTGTCATCAGAAGAAACGTCATCTATATGAACCTGGTCGCATTCCTGTAAAAAAAAAAACCCATTTGATTTCATGATAACAAAGGGGGGAAAAGAGAGATCATATTGCATTTAACACCAGCCGTATATTATTAAATCACTAATTTCATTCCTACCTGCATGATAAAGAAAAATATATCATATATGAATTAATATTGTGGCATTTCACATTTCTCTTTTGACTGGGGTCCAGTCCAGTACATAATGTTCTATGTCAGCCCAGAACCCACTTTCCCAGTTTCCCAGGCTGGGAGACAAATTGGACAAGTTAAGTACCTCTTTCCATGGAGAGATCTAATTAATCACTTTCACTGAAGTGACATTGACATTTTGACAAAATCATTCAGAGAATTGGACAAACTTGCTCTCCCGGCTCTACTCCAAGTATTGTGGACAAATTGCCAGAACCCTCAGAAACAACAAGGTGGTAACAAAGGACCTGGTAATTTCTCTCTTTATACACAATCAGTGAGGGTCAATGGTCAAGTAAAGAAGGTGGCTGATGACTTGACAAGGGAAACCTGCTATGAATAGAGTAATTTCTGCCAGTGATGAGAGTGTGTGTTCAAATACTTGTGATATGGAGGAGGGAAGTCTATCAAACTGACCACCCCATAAAATGCCTGTCCATCAAGAATCAAGCTATCCATCACACATTAAGGTAGAAGGGGCCCTGCATGGACCTGAACATTAACTGGACTGGGCTGGGCCAATAACAATGCAGAAAATAACATTATGTACTATCTGCTGACAGACATTACAGGTCAAAATCACTACTTTGTGTGTTCACATGATAAAGACATTTATTCCTCATCCAAATTTTTCAAAGTGAACCATTGTTTTGGCTGTGCTTACAACCATACCCTCATTTTTAACACAAAAAATCCAATCACTCAAATACATTTTTTGTCTCATATCCGCCTGATGCTATCAAATATCACTCACATGGCCGTGTGTTATAAAGCCATGTGACAGACAATGGCAGCGTCACTGTGCACTGTGGCTTGCTCTCAAACAACCCTCTGGCACTGGACCAGCATTCTGGCAATCGGACATATTGCAGACAGAAACCCTAAAAGAGCCTCACTTGATTTGTATAAAGCCTACCATTGACAAGTAGCCTGGAGAGACCTTGACGACAACAAAGCACTTCAAGTGACTATCAAAAACAAATCACATTGTCACAGTTTGAACTCCATACAACGGTCATTTACTCATTAGACAAGCTTTGACAACAACTTGAGTCCAGACATGTCCATGTCTGCTGCTGTTGTAAACAAACAATACCATGGCTGTGTCGAGATGTACATGACAGCATGGCAAATCCAACACAGGGTGGGAGACCAACCTACACGACCTAGCCGTTTTCAATTTAGAATGACCAAATGAATAAAGTCAGTCAATGAACCCAATCAAACTTGCTCAAACAAGTTTACCTGAAACCAGAATTACAAAGAGATTACAAGAACATACTACCAAATATATCTACATAATTTTGACTGTTTCTTTCTCTTCACTTGTATAATACATCCATTATTGGGATGCACTGAAGTCAATCTGGGTCACAACAGAATGCATGCAATGAAGCACAACCACTTTCAGCTTTTAAATTTATAACCACAAAGAACTGGAAATAATAAATGCGACCATGATAATGATGCAAACACTGCACTGGTACGCATGAGGTAGCCCTGAATATTCATGAGGTATTATTCTCCACTGGTTGGCATCACTGGATGCGATGAATGGCAGAAAAACACACACACTGCTGATGCATTTCAATCAACATTAAGTCCAAACCAAATAATGTAACAAACAACATCTTCAATTTCATATGATTTTTTTTCTTTACACAAGATGGAATCTTGTTCAGGTCAATACACACGAAATTAGTCAGCAGCAGCAATTATAGAAGGTAAATGATAATATTCCTGAAAGGTTATGTTAACCATCATTACATTTTCCCCAATAATCTGACAAGCATGTAAAATGAAGTGTATCAAAGCAGGTACTAACATGTCTGACCAGTGTAGTATACAAGCATGAAGGTTCCTATATCAGTATTACAGTACACAAGATATACATTGCTGAAACTCAATACCATGGGATCTAGACAAAGCCGACTTGCAAGTATTAAACAGACAATCCTAGTCCCATCAGCTCTCTCTTTCCCCACTCTCCTTGAGTCAATCCATGCACTGTTTTGTTTGCTAACATGGTGAAAACCCACAGTAATTATGACTGCTGACAGCCTTATTCAGCAAAACATCCTAACACCTATACTCAAATATTTGCCAGGATGCAATGCCCGCGAGCACATTACCTTGCTACAGACGCTTCAATTCGATCCTCAGACAAAAGAAACCACCATCTTGTTTCTTAATCATTCACAAATTCCTTGGCAAGAACATGGAGGCGTGACTTTGCCAAAAGACTTTCACTTGTTGAATTATATCTGTACATATTGAATTCAGTCAAGCCTTAAAGCTGTGTTTACTTAAAGAATTCAGATAAAACCTACAAGCACATATTTAGTGTGACTTTTTCTGTTAGCATGAAGAAATACATTTCTTATTTGATGCACGAATACATCATTTATGAGTTAATGATTTAAGCTATTTCAATCCTAAACCTGTCTTTATCATCCATCTAATGTGTGGCAGTGTTCATCACGTCGGAACACTATTCACTGTAATCCTCTCCACTTTGTACAACATAAAATCTCTGACATTTTGATTCATCTTTTAAAAATGCTGTGCTAATCTATCTGCTATGGGATACTCATGTCGTCTGCAATAGAAATACATTTTGACGCCAATTATGGTAAATGCACTATTGCCGTTATACCTTTGAAACCTGACCTAGAAGCTCAAATGTGTCTACCAATACAATTTCCTCTTTTTATGTCAAGAACTTAATCACACTACCAGCAGCCTCACAGAGGATTCCTCATCTGCACACTAATAAACTGTTTTCTAATTTCTTGTCCGTTTACACTTCTGTTCATGAATTGTATCATGTGATAAATATGCTGGGTATGAAGATTACCATTGTCCACTTATACTCACGCAGCAGCATTCTCTCAGTAATGAGTGGAAATATGAAAATCAAGTTGGACAACAAAAGTAGTGAATATTTGACTAACAATCCTGACACGATACAGGAGACCATCAACATCAATTTCCTGCATCAATCGGGAGGCTTGTGAATAATGCTTAGCAAAACAAATGGTGTCCAGCCAGGATCTAGTGTACGTTTTCCCGGTTAAGCTAAGCAGCTGCATAGTTGGCTTATTTCAATATGAAAGGTCATATTCTCAATCTAGAGTCAATCTTTTAATAAAAAGAGCACACCTTTCCTGAAAAATGTCACCCCCTAGCCTGAACTTCAAAGCCTGAAATAAGCTCAGCTTGTTGAAATCTTGTCCCGTCCCCTTTTTGGTCTGAGTTGATCATGTCCTGATGAAAATCTCATTACAAAAAAGCTTGGAGGGATTGAAATGAAGTCTTTATGGGGAAATATTTACACACATTGCTTAATAAGTCCCCTTCATGGCCCGTCAGGCTCTCAGGCGACAGACTGGCGCGGGCAAGTAAACAGCTGAGGAACACACCATTGACGCGAAAGCAGTGGACCAACCAAACTTCACAGAATTCTGGCCACTTCAATTAAGCTTTCTGACGACACAGACAGTGAGGCAATTCAGAGACATATGACGAGGATCTTCAAGGGGTTTCAAACTTTCTTTCTGCATTTTCCTCGCAAGGGATTTACCCAAGAAAAACTCATGGCCATAATTGATTAACCAGACAGTTTACTTGAACGAACCTTTCCATTTTTCAGCATAATTAGACAACAATGTGGGCCATTGGTGTAAATTGGTGGCTAGAACAGGACAAAGCCATCAATGTTTGAGTTGAGGCCCCGTTGTCTTGTGCCACCTCAAACTAACTGTAACACCATGGACAATGACACTGCCCAGTATGTCTGCTAGTAATGCCTTATCCAACAGACGCCATCTTCAACCCACCACAGGCAAATTTTAATCAGCTATTCAACTGTAACTAAATTATTGCCCGGAGCTATTTAGAAAATAACACTGAAGCAAAAACTGTCATTATCAGCACTATTGTTGAGTAAATCTTTACGGCAAAATCACTGAGATGTGACCAAATCCGGAGCGACAATTTGGGGAGAAGAGACAAGCCAGATGGGAAACGAAGACAAATTGTGCAAGGCTTTTAGTTTTTGTGTTTAATTTGTTTTACAATTAAGAATTTAAAAAATTCAATTAGCTAACAGACCACGACAAATTGTGACTCAAAATTAGAGACTGCGGTTTATAATAAATAGATTACATTAACAAGTATAAAGGACAAGTGTCCTTCATTTGCATTTAATAAAATCTCTGGAGTTTCTGGTGATATATTCTAGCAACACATTGTCAATAGGTGACATTGTTTCAGAAAAGATATATTTTCTGAAGCAAAAATGTTTAAAATTACTACAATGAAGTTACAGGCATGAAATGATAAGGGACAGGTGACAAGACTAAAGTGTCCCCACAACATTCTATAGGTGCAGTTCCCAGGAAGACAGTGCCGGTGTGTGTAGTAACATGGTAACTTACACTCAAAAGGTAGTTCCCTATGAGATCACATTGCAGAAAGGTAGCCAGCCATGTGGACAACTGCAAGAAACAGACTGTATCAACCATCAGAAATGTACCTACCTCTAAATCATTAAAGAACAAATGCGTGTCAGCTAGATTGAAAATCATCTCCTCCATGCGTAATCCTAACGACACACTAGCAGGGGGGTCCTGAAACAAACAGATATCAAGTTGAACACATTCACTAATGTTGCACACATCAAAGAATACACACATTTCCTGGATGAATACTAAACATATCATTAGCAGATTTTATAAGCATACACAAGTACTTGCTATAGATGTTGAGTCATTCAAGACTGTGTTACCTAGCAGAAGGTACAGGACATTCCTTCCTTCCACTAATAATGCATACCATCATGGACAAAATATCTACTTGCTAGATCAATGGACTTCTAGTCAGTTTGCTTTGTAGAATAGGTATTTCAAGAGAGAAAAAATCTTTCCCCATCATCATAATGATGCATATTTCTTGCATTTTACGCCAGAAAATGTCAGCTTGTATTGAAAAACAAAACATGATGAAATATATGAGATTATATAGCAAATGAGTTTCCATTTTACATAAAATGTACCAAAAGTCCCACCATATTAATTGATATAATTCATCTCTAAACCTTCTGCAATAAAAAGATTGGGATAAAAGCATTATTTATCATAAGCTTTTTAAGTGCATGTAAGAAATGAGTTTAATTATGGGTGGCTGTGAGAGGTAAGTGAGGGGAATGGAGGACTGATCCTGGCATTACAAGGCTGATCTCAGGCTAGTTTTCTTTATTACTGTCTGTCAGATCTAGTTAAAGAGGATAAATGCCAATCTAAGAAAGTCGTGTCTGTGCCCCGGCCTATCTGACGCTCAGCTAATCACCAATAACAGCCAGTAATTGTTCTCCAATGGAGCACAATCAGCAAAAGAGGCTCTGATTAATGAGATTTAGAAAGGCAAGGAGTAGAAAGCTAAGATTGAGAAAGTTACTTGGACCAGCATGACAGTGGGCACTCCAGGCCCTGGATGTGTGCTGAGTTTACTACAACATGGGCTTGCTCCTCGGCGAATTCCCTCTGCTCTGGCACACAGACCTGCTTTTTGATGAGGGATAATAGGTTTGAATTCTATTAAGCTTGGAGTAATAGAGAGAAAATAATGTGGGAATCGCTCCCGATCAGGCCTGTTTGACAGTGATTTGATGACACCCAGTTTTCCATTACAATTCCCCCTCTTGGGACGACACATCCAAGCTTGGCCTTCAAATGCCTTGTTTCTCTTCCTCCGCTACTAAAGATTTCCACTTCCAGTCACACATGTGCTCGTAATGTTTTCCTTGGGGATAAATGTCTAATCATACAAAATGTTCTGATCTTGCTCAAAATCCCTTGTTTGCAATTACTAGTCTCTAATCTTAGAAGGGTTTTCATATTAGAAATAATTCTCACAATTTAACCCTGGGCAGTGGGGTATTAACTCATCATTGCCAGGACGATGGCATCTCTTTTATGGTACAACTGGGGAACATATCTCTCAATTTTCTATTCATGTGTCCAAATTTGTATTTTTAACATAAACCTGATGATAGTAAGACAATAAACTATTAACAGAAAATAGTTTTCAAGAAATTCTAGTAATCATAGCATTTCTAGTAATTCATTTTAAACTTCCAGATTCAACATTTTCAAATCCTCATTAAAAATATTTACTAGTATTAAAGTGAAAATAATGTGTGTTTTTGAATCAACATATTTTCAAATGATGAGGAACCACATAGTGAAAGAGTATTCCTAACACAACATTTCTGTTTTCAGATTAAAGCAGACGGAATCTGCCACAATGAAAATTTGCTCCAAGTAATCATTACTTCTTCAGTCAGTTGTAATTTCTCAGATTGTCAGTGTTAGTTCTGGAGTCGGAAAATACTTGAATTTGAAGCAGAACACATTTGAAGATGGTACGACCTTCAAGACACTCCTATTTGTAAAATAACAAGTTGTCTGTTCTAATTCATCCCGTGGCCATTCTCCCCTAATCGGTATTGATTATACAGAAGGCCCCAGCCTCATAAAGAATTAGCGATTGCGACTGGCTGCAAATTTATTGTTATAACGGCTGATTTTCCATGTTCACCGTTCACCTCCCAATGATGTCTGGCGGCAACTAAATCAACCATCACACCATTTTAGCTTTCTGTTGACATTTCCAATTGCACAAAATTTGAATAGTCCCAAACACGGTCACTAATCCTTTCCGACATTTTCATCCCGCAGAATGGCCATGGCTCACATGGTCGATTCATCAAGAGATTTGCTCGATCCTTGTCGTCTTCAAACTTATTCAAAATGTGTGTACAGCTACAGCCTAATTTCTATAACGCATGTGTACAATGTTTACCTATCAGTCTTCCCCTATTGCGCTAGCATGGCTGATATTTGCTGAAAATAATGCCCCATCCTTGCGAATGGCAGCAAACTAGGGAGAAATTACTTGAAGTGCATATCATTGCGCGGTATAGAGGACTCGTGTGTAATTCAGGACAAGGGGGGGGGTTTAGGGGGTACTAACCCCTGCCCTCTGCACCTGTTATGGTGGGAGGTTCAGGTAACAAGCAACACTCACAGGCTTTCAACTTGGGCCATGTTTTCTTTCCTTGGCTTTTATAGGAAACTCAAGTATTTGCTCAACAATTATATCAAGAAAATGCTCAATGACAATGAATTTAGTATTTTATTATGTCAAATCAAATTACCTTCATTCATTTCACAATCCGCAATACAATCAAATTATTTTCACTCATAAAAAGTAACAAAGAAATTTAGAAAAAGTGGAATGTTTTGGGTTTTTCACATTTGTTTTAACTGAAATGTGTAAAGCCAATATTTTGCCAAATTTTCTTTTATGTTTTAATGCATGACATGAACCAAAATAAATAAACAAAGGTCATGTGTCTAAATATTAGCTTTGCCCAAGGATTATCTATGTAGGGATTAACTTGAAATAAACAATTCATGCAAAATTAGGTTCATCATCAGACAATCTCTGAGAACACTGACTCAAGGTTTCACTGAATAACCCGAAAACATTCCTAAACAATCACGAAACATCTCAGACAAATACATCTGGAGAAATAATGTTTTTTCTGTGAATGACAAGGGGCCTTATCAGCAAGCCATTAATCAAAGAGATAAGTACTATGTGTTGAACTATATCTCTAACATGCTAACAGATGACCCATCCTTTAGCACTGCCAAGCTCTATCTACATTGTGATAGATATGGACGTTGACAAATTGAATTTCTCACTTTTAATAATGGAACAAACTACTTTTTTTTAAAGGAACCTTGTGGATCAGTATATGAACCTACTTCAAAGTGAAGCAAATCAGAACCTCATAATGGTAAATGGATACGTACCATCTTGACACACCCACAAGACTGTTTTGTATTTAAGACACAAAGCCTGGTGATTTATGATATTGTATAATCCCTTATAGTCTCCGCTCAGAATACAGAGAATGTTTTTGCCAGGGCAAAACAAAATGCATATTATACATAAATCATGATCAAAACTTATCAGTAATATAATTTGTAAATAATCAAGCATGCAATGATAGCACATGGCGACATAATTCAGTATGTGATAGCTTACAAATATGGGTAAACAGTCGGTATCTTGTTGCGTGGAGTTTGAAACTCTTGAAATGACACTATATTGATAAAGTTTATCAAGCAGTGGTCAGGATGTGGAAGGCTGGCTGGACTGGCTGTCCCACTAATCACATCAAGCCAATATACAGCCTCTGAATCTAGCTCCAGGATTATCTTATTAGGACTGGTCTTTCCAATGGAGTAAAATTCAAACAAGCCCTTGACGGAGGAAGCAGCCTGTCTCCCGTGGGTGCGAGCATCCAACATCAAACACAGAAGATAATGAGGCAATCATTTCCACTTTACCGCTTTGCTCACCCCTAACTCACACACTGTCAGTTTGAATTTGTCTACGGACTTGTGAGCCTCAGACCCCCACATACTGCCATTGTCGTCCCTCGCTTCATGTTTACTGATTTGATGTAGGCAAGACCAGGGATTTCAAGTTTCTACTCTCCGCAACTTGTACAGCCAGCCAGCAAGCAACCCACCACACTGCCCCCCTCCCAAATCAAACAATTAAGATTTCAATTAAGATAAGCCCACTTAGTGTGGAGGGCCTTGCTACAATTTGACAAGGGCAAAATAATAGTAACATCTTGGCTAATGAGTGTAATCCCGTACCTCAAAGAAACACATGAATTAGCATATGCACATTTCACAACTGTACGCATATTTTGACAATCTCTGCATGATGACAGAACATCAAAGCGAGAATTTCAATGGTGAGTTAAGGGACTATTCCTGCTGTCTGCTGCCAAGTATATTGTATGTCAGTTGAAAGCATGCAGGCTTCCCCCAATCACCACAGGTTTTCTCCAAACACATGTCAACAGCCTAGAAATCAAAACAGCTTCAAAGAAAGGTTCCCCTTATTGTAGAAACATTCACAAAATTCTTCAGCTACAAAGTGTAATTGGACTTATAATATTGTCCGAACAAATACACCAAGAATTACATTAACAGTTACCAACATTTTAAACAACAATCCCCATCAAAGTACTACATGTTTGTCACAGGAGGCCGTTCTTCCTAACACCATTAGGAAATTGATTGAAAATTCATGTACAGGAAACATTTATCTTTACTCCATTCTGCTGTCAAACAAGGTAATAAGAAAAGAAAGCAATTTATTGAAAAATTCAGGAAACAAGTTTGCCAAAAGCCATTACAACGACCTAGCATGGCCATATAGCTGTCACAAACAATAGACCTCTCCTGGTTCCCAGAACTCTTAGACAGGTGCCCCTTCCCAGAATGCCTTTGGAAAGGACGGAGGGGGGATGGTGAGGGGAGGCTTTTAAATCAGTTTCTCATTAGCAAGAGTTGCCCCTCTAAGTTGAGTGTAAAGTCATCTATCACAAAAGCTGTCACTTTTAACACTTAGTTTGACATTCCCTTCCATCAAAAGTGTACCCACCCACTTCACTTTTTCTTTCAATTAGTTCCCTCTGTTTGGTATACCAAACTTACAAACACTTTTACAACTTTCCGGAGGAACTCTCCAGCATACT